AAAAGTAAATTTTTCACTTTTTTTAGAATGCGTTTGTACCTTATTAGTGAGAACGGGTGTATAGTGACAGCCAGCACTCTCCTCCTCATACGCCCTGTCAGCCGCCTGGTCCTCTGAAGGGCCAGTCTACGCCATTCCTCGTGTAAAGCAGCTTCAAATTGGGCTAGGTTCTGTACAGGAGGATCCCTTTATTGCACACGACGTGTCCCAGAAATGCTCCAAAGGCTTAAGATCGGGGCTCATTCAATCATGAGAGTGAGTGAGTTAAAATTTAACGTCACCTCGGCAATATTTCAGCCATATAGTGACGAGACATGTTTTACATAAACAATAAATTTAAGTTGCTAAATAATCAGTCATCGAAGGACTGTAAAGTAACTAGAGGATAACAGATGGAGTCTAAAACTAACATGAACATGTAAAACTATTTTATTTACGAAGACAATACAATATAAAAACGGGCTATAGATCGCCAACAACTGAATTCAGTCATGAGATATGTCGGAGGGTGGACAGCCTAGTCCTGATTCGACCCCTCACCTGTCATATTGCTGGATATCTGCTACATAAAATAAAACTAATTCACCAATCTGGGGACACATTGAAGCAGTTCTTGTAATGCCAAATGCCATTGTCTGTGGTATCGTGGGCAATCATGCGTCTGGTTCTTAAAGTAGTCTCTAGAAGCGGTATATCTGCCAGTGCATGTCATGTCAAAACACTTCAATATCACGCGAGTTCCAATGGTCATTTAATAAACTTTCAGAACAGGGGGGAGGGGGTTGGGGCACCCCCTGGAACACCCCTCTCTGGATCTGACTATGAATGGGAGATAACCCTGTCTACCACTCAGACCGTAAACCGGTTCCTTAATGCTTGTCCACTAGCACCCGAGGGACAGTTGTATATTTTCTCACGATGGTCGATAGGTCATCTGATGTAAAGAACTAGAGACCAACCAATATTGGCATATACAAAACGTCATGGTGATCGATTCTGATTCCTGTATTCCCATATGAGTTTGTCACTTAGTGTACAATGACATTTCTTTCAGTAGAAATCATGTATTTCTTTGAGTGACATTTTAGAAATTGGGAAGTACAATACTTTTTGGAAAACAGCTTCCTTTATTTCGTGAGTGCGACGTTCCGATACAGATTCTTGTACCGCTGTCAAGCAGGTTGTACCGTTGTCCGGTTTGACAGCGGTACAAGAATCTATCGAAACGTCGCACTCACGAAATAAAGAAGTAAGTGTTGTTATCCATAAAATTTGTTCAATAGAGAAAGCATTTCATGACATACGTTTATCAATGGATGGTTTATGTACTGTTCACGGCTCTCAATCATTTTCGAACTGTTGAATTCGAACGGCACGTTCAGGAAGCGCTTATACACTGGAATGTTGAATAGGCAAGAATATTCATTTCCTTTTATCTCCAACGTTCTCCTGCCGCCATTGTCCTTTGCGTCATTGGTGTCCTAATGAATGCATCACGAAGTATGGAGTGACTTGACTCCCGACATTGTCCAACACGATGACTGATTCATAGCTGGGATTACGCTGGCTGTTTTGAATGTGGAAGCCGCGATGGTGTCTTGTCATTACAAAGAAATCTTTGTTTTTGGTCACTCGTATAAGTTCTAATGTCCATTAATGTTTTTGCAGCTATGACCAGTGTATGAAATGAGGCCCGTCCAACCGCCCGAGACGGGCTACATTTCTGACGGACGGTCTAGATTTACAGCTAGCCAGCCCGATGGTCTGGGTAAAACTTTTAGATGTTCCATACATATCTTGGTGTCTGGTCTGGTTAATCCATTTTGGTCTGGTAACATTTTGAAGTTACAAGCCCTGATGTCTGGCTTGGCTTTTGGCTTATTTCATACACTGCTATGATGACGGTCTATAAAGTCCAGTGAGTGAGTGAGTGAGTGAGTTTAGTTTTACGCCGCACTCAGCAATATTCCAGCTATATGGCGGCGGTCTGTAAATAATCGAGTCTGGACCAGACAATCCAGTGATCAACAGCATGAGCATCGATCTGCACAATTGGGAACCGATGACATGCATCAACCAAGTCAGCCAACCTGATCCACCCGATCTCACCACAAGCATGGGTTCCATTTCTAATCGGAATCGTCACGGGTTTAACACCAGGCCCTCGCTGGTCTCTTCTATCTCGGCATCACGAACTCAAACAGAAATCATGTATGTAAGTCATGTATGTAAATATCTTTATAGTTTAACCCGTGAAGAGCTTGGCTAGAACTGGTTTTTCGCAACCCTGCTTGACGTAAGAGGCGACTAACGGGATCGGATGGTCAGGCTCGCTGACTTGGATGACACATGTCATGGTATCCCAGATCTGCGTAGATCGATGCGTAGCATGCTGATGTTGATCACTGGATTGTCTGGTTCAGTATATAAGTATTTTCAGACTGACGTCATATGGCTGTAATGTTGCCGTTGAACAACAAAACAAACACATCCTTGTAGTTTATATAGCCAACATGAGGTTATTGGGAACCACACCATCTCTCCCACGATTGTGAAACAAAATTCCAACATGACCGTGTCGTATCTTTCTAAGAAAGTGAGTTCTGTCATCTAACAAGCAGTCTTCATCAGATACAGAATTAAGTTGATTCTCCACTCACTAACTCAACTCAACTCAACTCAACTCACTCAGAACTCTGAACTCCCTCTGAACCAACACTTTTCCCATATGACGTTGCGTCGTTGTTAATCAGCTGGAATTAACGCTACAATATAAGCATGCCTGTCGGCGAAACAACAGAGTAGTTTCGTGTTACCCTGACAACCCCCACGGGTATGTCTAGACGGTGTGTGACACCTGTTGTATAAGCTATCCTCGCAGGTATACCTGTCACGTCATTGCTGCTACCGTGCTACTTCAATAGACAAAAGTATATGCACCTGTGGGCCACACTCTACCGGCATTACAACATCACACTTTTCATTAGACGTTTTCATGTCTCTGTACACCTCAACGTCAACATAACACATATAACTTCAACACCAAGCCTTGGAAAGACACGTCCGAGTGCTCTTTTGGGAGAGCGAACAAAAACGGCCTTGCATACTAAAGTACACACTTGAAAGTTGGATTTAACCAGAACATTTTGAAGGTGTCATAAGTACAATATTATATGTCAATATCTAACATATAAATCAGAAAACCTTGTAAAAATACATCCCTATCTATCCCTATTTGTGCGGCAAAACGTTCGTAAATATTTACCTACCTGGTAAATGATATATTTGTTTCCGTTTAGAATGAGAAATTCGCAAGATAACGGTCAGGCGAAACACAAAATTTAGGCCACTCATACTCTACATGTCCCGTTGCATCGTTCAAAATGTCAAAAATTGAACCACGAGAAATCCGCTCTCTGCCACCTTCCCAGCAAGGCTGTCACTGCTATGTTCGTACACTTTGAAAAGCTTGGCCACAATCCAGTCCCAAATGATGAGAACAATGTTCCAAGGATTCCCAAGTTAGTCGCATGTACACAAAGCAGCACTGGCACTCTTTCGTCGCATGCCGGGGTCGAGGCACGTACGTGAAATCATGATCGACACTCGCCGGTCATAAAAATCAACAGTCTTTGATGAGTTACAGGTCATAGGTCGATCAGAAAAGGATGTATTCTTCGATTCTGCAGGGTTCAGGTTCGACAGTCAGTCAAGTATTTTCCACTGTCAGTTCGAATTTCAACCTTTCGCAAAATATAAACACGGGCTCGTCCGCTATTTCAAACGGTTGCGTAACTGTCTACTTCCAAGAAAATAAGAAGGTCAGACGATTCCATTATAGTGTGGCCAGGGGGGGGTACAGTAAGACGGCACACAAAACAATAGGCTGGTTTCAGTCGTGTGGAGTTATGATTATAAAAACCAAGCCCTTAGGTGTTACATTATTGCATTCAGTAAACAGTAGTTTGTTTTCTTTGGACAGAATAATTTTTATGTTGCAATGTTAACAAAAAATGCGAACGGCACCTACCACTCCCTTCACAGACGAGTTCAATTCGCCTCTCGTCCCATGCCGGATTACGCCGTGTCTTCCGCAGGACGAGGAAGTTCGATGTTAAATCGGTTATGGTAGAATGGAGATAAACATACTGTGTTTGGAAATTAGATGAATGTTAAACCGAATTGATAGTCTCTAAATAAATCATTTGAAACCTCACGCTACGCGTTCGGCTTCAAATGAAATTTAGAGACTATCAATTCGGTCTAATATTCATCTAATTTCCAAACACAGTACGTTTATCTCCTAATTAAATCCATGAACACAATGTAAATGGATTAAAACAACATCTTAATTAAGATAACAACTTAATTAAATTATATCAACAAACAGCGCCTTTAGTAAAAAAATGGTTATCTAAGAAACTGTGCTGTCAGTCATTTCACCACCATGGAGTGGATTCCAAGTCAGAGAGGGAAGGATAAGTTAGCTTTAGGGGGATTCTTGTATGTTTTACCAGAAAGAGTTACAAGGTGGAGTTAACTCTTATGAATATGTGAAGAGAAGACGCAGTCAGTGTAAGACTAAGGTGAGTGAGTGAGTGAGTTATTATTTAACGTCACATCGGCAATATTTCAGCCATATCGTGACGAGAACACATGTGACATTGAAATTGAATAGATGTATATTATGAAAACCTGTCGACGAAGGACAGTAAAACAACTAGAATATCACAATTACAACTAAAATTAGTGTGGAAAATTAAAACTAATAGCACTATTTGGACAATACAATATAAAAACTGGCTATAGATCTCTAACATCTGAATGTAGATCACCAAACTAGAGACCATGGGGACTTTTGCTACCTGCATGGACCCTAATTGGATTTACATCATCCCTTCAGCTGTTGGTGATTGTAAGAAATGTTAGCCAAAATCAAAATAACAAGAATACTACAATGATGTTTCTCTCGGTTGAATGCATTGTGAACAAGAGAGAAACTACTTTCTCCGTAGTGGTATGCAATGGTAAAGGGAGGTAATTACACCGGGTGATCTAGGGGTATATATAGGGGTGTATGACAGTAGGTCTTCTCTCTCGCTAATTACCACGGCAGTGTTCATATTGTTACGCAGCAATCATGTCTGAGGATTCAACCGCGGCAAAACTTGACGCCATTTTGAAAAGGCTTGACAATCAACGAGACTTTGAAGCTGTGTTTGACGAAAAGCTATCGCATTTGAGAGAAGAATTCATCGAGCAGGCCAAGGGGTTGAAAAAATTGAAGACTGATACAGAATATTCATGGTCTCGTGAAGGGAACAGAATTCAGTTTAATGTCAACTCTGAAGTTCTGGAGGATTTATTCACAGCAAGGCAAGCTAAATACGGTGTGAATGGTGAAGATGTTTCCGAGTATATTGAAGCGGCTATATCTAAACTAGAAAAGAGAAATAAATTGATTAAAATTGCGGACTCATCGGAAGGGGGCTGGGAGACAGTGAAAAATTACGTTTCTAACGAGTTGGCTGATGATAGTGATGATGACAAGAAAATTGAGAAAGCAGAACTTAAGGCAGTCAAGAAGCTTAAAAGCCAAACAAAACCGGAGATCCCCGTATGGAGCTCGAGCTTTACCCGGAGACCAAGTGTTACGTCGCACGCACAACACGCTCTACCTGTGCATACTCCTGTGCACAGTGTTCCAGTCGTGCAGTCTTTTCGTGTCAAAGGTTCCCGACAGGGTTCATGCCACCACTGCGGGGAGTTCTCGCACTATGTCAGAGAGTGCCCCTACCGTACAGCCAGCACGATCAGAGCCACGTCAGCAGCCAATGCTACAGCTACCAGTGTCTCATAGACAGGACGATACAGATTTGTCAGTTAAGTCTAACTTTGAAGTACGCTTAGACAATGATGATATTGATTATGATAATGCTCTCACTCATGATTTTTATGAATATGAACAGGGGTCAGCGGAAATCATAGTGAAGGGTCGTTTAAAGTCTAGTATTGCATTCTGGCATAGTACAGGTGCTTCACAATTTGTTATAGACATTATAGACAAAGGATACAAAATTCCTTTCATTTCCAGACCGCCGAGGATGGATTTACGAAATAACAAGTCGGCGTTGGAACATTCAGATTTTGTCAGTCAGGCTATTTCAGAGTTGCACAAAAAACACTTGATTGTTGAGTGTGATGCTCCACCCTATACAGTAAATCCACTTTCTGTGTCTATTCAGTCTTCGGGGAAAAAGCGTCTAATCTTAGATCTGTCTCGAGTGAACAAGTTTATTAACAAAAGTCAGTTAAATATGAAGACTGGAAATCTGCGCTTGAGTACATTAACCTCAATGACTGGCTGATTAAGTTCGATATACATTCAGCTTATCATCATGTAGACATTTTGAGGGTCATACCGAATTTTTAGGCTTTGCTTGGGTAAACGCATTACAAGAGAAACAGTATTACAAGTTTATGGTTTTACCTTTCGGGCTTACATCAGCGCCCTATGTGTTTACAAAGATTACACGACAGTTGGTCAAAAGTGGCGTTTCGAAGGAAAAAGGGTAGTCACGTTTTTAGATGACGGTATCTTGTCAGCGCAGTCTGAGCATATCACTCGTGTGTCTGGTGAGGCGGTGAAAGGAGACTTGATCAAGTCTGGTTTTGTTCCGAAGGTTGAAAAATCACTGTGGGCTCCCTCTCAGTCTGTAGAGTGGTTAGGTTTCCACATAGACACGCGACAGTTGCGTTTATCTGTTCCTCAGAGGAAGTTGGATAAGGTTGTAGCAAATTTGAAATTTCTGTTGAGTAATAAACGTTTTAATCAGCCAGTGCGTTTGATTGCAGCGGTGGTCGGACAGATAATCGCTATGAAATTAGTGATGGGGAATGTAGTTCAACTCATGACGAGGTTTTTGAGTATTGATATTTTGTCAGCTCAATCTTGGAACAGAAAAGTTCATCTGTCGGTGCTTAGTGTTGATCAGTTAAGGTATTGGATTGATAACATTCCTCGTCTGTCGAGTACAGTGCTGATTAAAAGTTCCACTGTGAGTCGTGTCGTGTACAGCGATGCAAGTGACACTGGATATGGAGGCTATTGTGTAGAGATGGATTCGGCTTTTTCCCATGGCCAGTGGTCAGAAGAAGAGGCTAGGAAAAGTTCAACTTGGAGAGAGTTGAAAGCTGTTTATCTTGTTTTGAAAAGCTTTATTCATCAAATGCAGCATCGTAGGATTATGTGGTGTACTGACAATCAGAATGTGGTAACTATAGTGGACAAGGGAAGTATGAAGCCCCATTTACAGTCAATAGCTCTTGATATATTTGAGTTGTGTTCAACGCGAAATGTTGCTCTGAGTATGCAGTGGATCCCGCGTGCAGAGAATGCAGTGGCAGATATGCTGAGTAAGATACTTGACTATGATGATTGGGCTATTGCCTCACATGTATTCAAACGGATAGATGACAAATGGGGCCCTCATGATGTGGATAGATTCGCATCTTGGTACAATGCAAACTTGTCATGTTTTAATTCCAGATATTATAATCCAGGATGTTCTGCAGTGGACTGTTTTTCAGTTAGTTGGAGTGACGTCATGAATTGGGTTGTACCCCCCTGTTGGTATGATACCGAGGACTTTGAGACACATGGCTGAGTGTCGGGCGAGAGGCACTCTTGTAGTACCTGAATGGTATTCGGCTTGTTTTTGGCCACTTATCACATGTAGCTATTTGTTTATCCCTCAGGTGTTAGAATACATGTATTTACCCAAAACTAAACAAAGTTATGTGCCTTCCAGGATAAGAGGCGGTTTGTTTGGTGAACAGGACTCTGCGAGTTGATTTTAGCAAATGTTGATTTTGTATATTGCGTGTTACAGGTGTGATATCTTGTGCTTATGGAGAGGAGATGAAGGCGTTACCCCCCTGGTGTGAGGGGACTGGTGACAGGTTTACCAGAGTTGTTGAGCGAATGTAGAGCTGAGTCTACGTCGCGGAAGTACAGATACGGTTTTCAGGCCTGGAAACGGTGGGCGCAATCTTGTGGTATGCCTACAAGTTTACCTATTGCCCCCTTGCACTGTGCAATTTATTTGGTGTCTGTTGTTCAGAAGAGTGATTCGTTTGCTTCTGTGCAGACAACGTTTTATGGCATTCGGCATGCTCATGTTGTAGTAGGATTGCAAAGTCCCACTGATAATGGGTTGGTTAAAAATGTATTGGAAGCAGCCAAAAGGAGATTGGCTAAATCTGTTTCTAAAAAGGAACCCATAACACCTGCTTTATTGGAAAAGTTGTATGATGTATGTATGTCTCATCCCACGCTTTGTGATGTGAGAATTGTGTGTATGTGTTTTCTAGCTTATTCAGGTTTCTTGAGATCATCAGAGTTATTACACATCAGACGTTCCGACATTGAATTCTATGAGTCTCATATAATGTTATTTATTGAGCAATCCAAGACTGATATATACAGGGATGGTTCATGGATTGTTATTGGTAGGACAAATTCTAAGCTATGCCCAGTTTCATGTTTGGAGAAATATCTTGAGATTTCAAGTATTTTGCCTTCATCTGATGAATATATTTTCAGAAGCATTACCAAGACTAAGAATGGTTATATACTTAGAAAAATGATTCCCCAATGTCATATACTCGTCTTAGAGAGCTTTTCATTGATGCCTTTGCTCCCTTTGTGAGTGATATCAGGAATTATGGACTGCATAGTTTAAGGAGTGGTGGAGCAACAACAGCGACAAACAAGGGTGTGCACGATAGACTGTTTAAGAGACATGGCCGGTGGAGAAGTGAAAACGCAAAGGATGGTTACATTAAAGATAATTTACAGAGAAGACTTTCAGTTTCTCTGTCTCTTGGACTGTAGACTTTCTTTGAGGCTCCGCCCGTGTCGACACTGCGATCGGGCCAATATTCTAGTGATGTTTGTTGTTAGTGAATTGGTAATGTGATCATTGCATGGTGTGTACGGAGAAATGATGTTTCTCTCGGTTGAATGCATTGTGAATAAGAGAGAAACTACTTTCTCCGTAGTGGTATGCAATGGTAAAGGGAGGTAATTACACCGGGTGATCTAGGGGTATATATAGGGGTGTATGACAGTAGGTCTTCTCTCTCGCTAATTACCACGGCAGTGTTCATATTACAGTGTTTGTTTCTTTGAGTGTTGCAAAATCTTAATATGATTTCTATTTTCAGATTGTAATCTGACGTGATGCTCGTGTGAGTGGATGTTCCCTTGTCGGGTCGACCTGTGTATGGTATGGTCGTGTTGGCGAGTGAGCCTAATCATGCATTAAAGTTTCTTCGTTCAGAAGCGTAGGCTGACGAGTCTTTATAATACGTTTATTGTGTACATATATTTTTTTTTTTTTTTTTTTGTCTGTTTGGCTGTTGAGCCGAGAGAATACGAAATATGTTTTGCAATGCAGCTCAGCATACAGTTGATTTACCTGTTTTTGGTATGGTCGGGTCGGCTAGTGAGCTTTTATGGTACGCCTATAGTGTGAATTTACGTGTTTGCTTACTCTTTGTTGAGTTATGATAATTCGTAATATAAGTATTGTAATGCAGCTAAGCAGATACTTGATTTGCATGTATATGAGAGAGGTGTATTATCTGTGTTCTAGGCTGGCGAGCCTTGATAATACGAGTTCACTTTGAACGTGGTCTGTTTGGACGAGGATTGTTTCCCTCATGTGCTATGTTGTACAGTATACATCATAATTTGTATTTATGGCATGCTCAGTACATCAAAGGTTAAGCTGTAAACTCCCCAGAAAGGTGCCGCTGACTTCGTCGGGAGAACACGGTCCAGAGTAATTTTCTCTTGAATGCAGTTTTTGATCTCTGTTTACGTGTCGGGCAGCGGTTCCACACCTGATGATGTAATGTTGAAGGAGGGAAGTGTATTTTGAAGGTTGGTGTGTTGATGTCACACTGTTTGCAATATTTGTAATAAACTGCCGCGTGTCGACACTGCGACCGGGCCAATATTCTAGTGATGTTTGTTGTTAGTGAATTGGTAATGTTATCATTGCATGGTGTGTACGGAGAATTTAAAAATCCTAGTAAGTTGAAATTGACTTTGAAAGTTTTGAGACTTACGCTGGCGATTGTGGTAAGTTTTAGCCATTATTAAAAATAACAAGTATTCTACGATTAAAAGTTTGGTAGTGCTAAATTGACCATGAAGGTTTGGACTTACGTACCGACATTGGTAAAAGTAAGCACATACTCATTCACGGGAGCATGCCTGTTGTTGCAATAAGTTTTGTTTTCTGTGAGTGCGTAAACAAGTCTCAATGAAATGTGGCTATATGACAGTTCCTTTTGTTCTGTGAATGAGTTGGTGTTAATCTTCCCTTTAGCAATATCCCATCAGCAACACACCTGAGGGTCACGCAGATCGCCCATGTGGGGAATCGAACTGGCGACTGAACTTTCCCTTATTTGTGGTCAGGCTGCAGGTATGATAGTTTCTGTATTAAAGATCTGAATTAACCTCGTTACCAGAGTCGGTCGCTCATCGAATTAAAGTCGTGTCATGATTTCAGATTTCAGAAGAGAGATCGATTGTTAATCGTTAGTTTAAAATCGACATAACTGTAAACCCAAATGATACAATTTGTGACATCCAAGGGCGGTCTACGGGCGCCAATCTCTGCACACACAAGATTGCTCGGTTCAAGAATATATTTGTAGAATAATCGTAATGTGAATATTTATTACCTCCGACGAATTGTGTGCCGCATCAGATTTATGTATTCAGAATTTTGTTGTGACATAATCTGAACGCTAGATGTATGGCATCACATTAAAGAGTCTCCAGAGGTGGATCTGACACATACACCCGAGGCTAATGGAGGCAAACATATGTTTTATCTAGTACGACCTTGACCTCGTTGTCTAAGTGTCTGAGAACCTGTCATTAACGTTTTTGTGTTGCGTTTTTCAGATGTGTCGCCGAGATAATTCGACCAGCAAAACCTGTTTTATCTCGAGGGTTACAATTCACATGAGACACGGACAGGGGTGTTATGAGCTGATATCTCATCTATTTATTAAATTTAGGAAATAAAAACAACGTAGTGTTAACACGGAGTCAGGAATTATTTTGTGATATATTTTTGTTCTCAACCACGGGGATTTGACTTGACGCCAAGGAATATTTAATGCTTCATGTGTTGGACAGTGCCTCCCAGGCGACCTGTTAGTAGGGGAGAAATCAGGACGTGTCTTCATACATCGTGTCATCCGTGCTGATGAAGTGATGCCGGACCCTGGATCACATCTCTGGCTTAAAGAAGCCGCAATATTACTTTCAAATTATCTTACAGAACCATCACGTGTAATATATCTGTTCTGACTGTCTCGTATACATATACTAGTCACAAAAAGAGACTGCACCAAATTACTGAAAAGCATGTGCAAATATCATGCATGTGTACAGCTGCGTTTTGGTGTAAAGTTTTGTTACGAATTCGCCAATTTTCACTGATTTACATCATTTACTGAACTCATGACATTCTTTAAACAGTACCTTTAAACAGTATGAAATATTTTGCAAAATTTAGTTTAGAACAGTTGACTGAAGTAAGTGGCTATATTTACACCAGTGAGTCTAAACTTTTGAAGAGAAGTGTATATTTTGGAGCTGCATGTGTTAACAAATACAGATGTAAACACAATAATTGGTAGCTTCAATTGAACGAACATGCTCGTATTACGTTTGGTGACGTCAATGGTTTCGACATGAGCCCGCGCAACACGTTGTGCACGTGCAGCTCGATACAGTGCGTGGAGCACATGCATGTCAAAAACTGCAGTCGATTTTGGAAGTATGATAATACTTGATTGAGTAAGCTGGGTCTAACGCTGATTAGGTCAGCATTTCATTTATAATACGGCTGTCAGCTTTCTGTTGGAGGAACATCAACATCATCAGCGTCTACAACAGTATCAACGTCAATCTCTACACCAACATCGACGTCAGCGTTAACAAGAGTATCAACATCAACAACAACATCATTAAAATTTCCCATCAAAGAAGAAGATCATTAACTGCAACAAATGTAAGAGTATTATTGTCAGTCCCATCTACAAGCATGGCATCGTCACACATTCAGCTTCCTTAAAGGTCACATAAACCCTAGGGGGTACAAATACATAAATCACTAACTGGCATCGTTATAAATGAAACCCCGTCATTAAAACTACTCATTTCGACCTTTAATTGACTTAAATCGACCTTTTTGACAACAGTGCACAATTCTCACCCGCGAACGAAATTTCAACCAATCAGAGCGGCGCGTCTCTGTGACGTCATATGAGGAATAGCTTTGAGGGCCGATGCAGAATTCATCTACATTTTAGGGGGGTAAATTATCTTGTTTACAGGCTTGTATAAACCTGAAATCGTGACAATTGTTGTGGAAAATGAAAGCTATATGTTCTCACAATCTACTGTCATTTAATTTTGTCTCCTGCTTTGCCTAGTTTCCGAGTTACAACTTGTTTTCATAGACGATTCCGTCAAAATCGATTGGTGTCGTTAGGCCCTATTTGTATAATGACTGATCTAAATTGATCCCATTTCTGTGTTTTTTTTACCTCGATATTTGATCATGTCATGTAAAAATCTGTTTGTATTCTCAAAACAGTGTCGGCCCATAAGTTTTCACATGCAATACAGCAATTAATACTCCCTTGTTGTAACCCGTGTTAGGTGGTATAAACCTACACATGTTATTTGTCATCATTCACTTGATGGTCAGTTAATGAATTTATAACAGGTATAATTAGTGGTAACACACTTAGATTACCCGACAAAGGTTCCCATTTGGCATTTCTTGTGTCTGGAGTAAATATTCAACATTATAAACATCGATCAAAGGATTAACCGATAACACGCTGATTGATTAATTACTTTTATCTTACACAGCGGAATTGTCAAAAGGTAGTGTTTATGTATGTAGATTTACTAATCTATACTGAATACACTCTGTCGTGTCGGTGTCTGCGTAAAAAACAGCGTGCTTCGTTCAAAGGATTAACCGGCAATACATTGATTGATTGCCCATTATTGGCTAACTAAATTACTGTTTTTAAAGAAAGGCGGACATTATGTAATTAGTTGCCAGGTGTGCTATCTTGGGTGACCAATGAGACTATACACCAATACCTGAAAAGATTGATCACTTTTTCGTATATTAAACTGTTAAAAGACACATCATTTGGAACAGTTTTGTGGATATTGATGGATACATTCCTCGAACAAGGTAATGGCCTGATATTGTTCCTATAACTTTAATCTGTTTTAATTTTAATATTTGCACTTTGTTTTTATTCATTTGTCGTAGCATTCAACAGAATCATTGTTTTCACCGTGAAGTGTATGGAGACAGACAACATACACTAGGGTGTGTGTGCGGATTATGATTCACATTGGCAAACTATAAAATGTCTAGCTATTACAGTTCTGTTATAAATTCACTATAAGTATCAGCAGATCGTCTGCTTTTTATTTAGTTTCAAAATGCATACAAGTATGATAACAAACTATTTAGGATTATAAGACCAAATATAAAGACGCACATTGACTAGTATCTACATACTGGTGAGTGGACATTAACCATGTGAATGTAGCAAGAAATTTATCGCGCAGTATTGTAACTTCGACCCCCACCTCGCTTCCGTGGAAGAAATCGTTATGTTATAAGTTGTGTCATGCAAAATCCGTTTGGTTATGATTCCAATACATATTTAACTACGAGTAGAAAGTAGTTTTGATTTTCTAACTTGATGAAACAAACTATAATCTCATTAATTCTAACAGACTTTACGATTTTCAAAAATGGCGGCGCCCTGTCGGGAACATGCGCCAGTCTGAGGATAAATGCTATTTAGGTTTGTTTTCACCGAGATATAAAATCAAAACTACTTTTCTACTGGTAGTAAAATATTTATTTTATTGATGGCCAATAGGATTTTGCATGACATTATAAGCGTATAACATAACAATTTCTCTCCTGGCAGCGAGGTGGTGTCAATATAATACTACTTACAATATTATTGTTACTTCGACCACAACCTCACTTCCGAGGAAGAAATCGTTATGTTACAAGTTGTGTCATGGAAAATCTTTATGGTCATCAATCATTTACATATTTTACTACAACTAGTAAGTAGTTTTGATTCTTTAACTTCCGTGAAGCGATCTGAACACAAGTAAGATATCGTTTCAGGCTTCCACAACGCTCACTTCGCACTCACAAACATAACCCATTTAGCACGAACTGCGGGGTCCTGTGGAAATCTGTGCATGGGGACACCATCGCCCGACCCCTAGGAGCAATTGAC